CCCTCCTCCCTCAGACCCAGGAGTCCAGGCCCCCAGCCCCTCCTCCCTCAGACCCAGGACTGCAGGGCCTCAGCCCTCTCCCTCCTCAGACCCAGGGGTCCAGGCCTCCGGCCCCTCCTCCTTCAGACCAGGCCCTGGTCTACACACTCACTTTCGGGGCTCCGGCGGGCAGCCCCCACCACTGTGCCATCAGCCCTGATCTCTAGGTGGGCCTCTGTCTCCTGGGCATCGTCCGTGTAGAGGTACCGCTGTCGAACTTGGCCTCCAAATTGGAGGAGGGGGCTGGAGTCAGGGATAGGGTGTGCCCGGCAGGCTTCCAGCAAAAGGACAGCCAGCACAGGGACCCACAGCCCCAGGTGCTCAGACCTGGCCTCCTCCCAGCCCATCAATGGCTCACGTCCTCAGGCGAGATCTGGGGTCTGAGATTTGACCAGCGGAATGGTATAGATTCTGTTTCAGAGCCTGGCTGTCTGGGAGAGCAGATCCACGGATCGCTGCTTAGCTTGAACGCCTGGGTCCTCTCACACGTGGATTCCCAGCTGAACCGAATACCCAGGTCTCTTAGAATGGATGCAGGGGCTCCAAAATTTATATCCAGACAGACCTGCCCAATCACCTTCCCCACACCTGACCCATGATATTTGACCCACTTGGCAGCAGCTAGGATTCCACCGTGGCCCGATCAGGCTGAACAGATGACGCAATCAGGGGGTCCTTCCAGGTGGGGGCCGGGACTCCCGAGTCTGAGGAATCAGGGGGATAGGGGTCTGATGAACTGGGACCTGGGTGACAGGGGCTGGGGGCCAGGACCCCTGGAGTCTGAGGGAGGGGAGGGCTGTCGGGGGGAGGGGGCCTGGAAGTCTGACTCCCTGGCTGACGGGGATGCAGACTGCGTCCCATAACTGGAATTTCTGCATGTCACCTGAATTTCTAGGTTTCTGGGGTCACACGCTGACATTCCTTGATCATCAGGAAGGCAGTGAATGGCACATGACCAAAGCGTCCTCTGCTGGGACAGAGGCATCCTGACCTCAACCTCACCAGTCCAGCCCCGATGCTCCTCCTACACCAAACGTCCAGCCTCTCTCTCCTCCCTGATGCAATCCTGGTGTTTCTTTCACCAGAGAAGCTACCCCCAGGCCCAGAAAAGTGCTCTCAAAATAGCGTGGGGCAGGGAGGAGGGTGAGTCTCTTGACTCGGCGTTGGTGGCCCAGCCAGGCTCTGGAGGGGGAAATGAGAGGCAAGAGCCCAAAGGGAATGAGGGGGTGGGCAGTTTCCTGGAAACTAAAGGTACAGAGGCTGGCCACCTGGGGCTGAGGGAGGAGGGCACTAGAGACCTGAACTTCTCTGTCTGAGAAGGGGGCTGGGGTTGGAAGTCCCCCGTCTGAGGAAGGGGAGGCCTGGGGGCCGGACTCCTGGGTCTGGAGACATTTAGGGTCAAATCTCTGGAGAGTGACGTCAAATTCCTGAGTTTGATTTATTGAATGCCCACGGTCACCCTGCTCTGGCCAGGGTGAGGGTGGGGGTGGGTAGGACCACCTTGACGATGGGAACAGCCTCAGGTGTGCTGCAGAGTGGAGCCTTTGAACCCCAACCAGGAGGCTGGAAAGATAAACTGGCTTCCACTCCCGCTTGCTCCTTCCTGGGCTCTGGGGGAGAGCCCGCCTCCGGGAGGTGCCCGTCTAGAAAGGAGCTGTCAGGCGCCAGATCCACCACTCCGTCTGTAGGAGAGGCTGGGGGCCGCGACTCTGGAATTTGCAGGTGCACTGCGCGGACCTGGGGGATCAGAAGCCCTTGCTGGGCGCGGGGACACCTACGGCCGGAGGCTCCCACGTCTGGGACCCTGAGAGCTGGAGGAGGTTTTCCATCCGCTCCAGGAGCAGCCTGGCTAACAGGTTCTTCACCTCCACCGGGAGGACGAGGCAGAGGGCGGAGGATCTTCCTCCCCGCCCGGGCCTGCTGTCCGGGTCCTCCCTAGAGGCCGGGGAGTGGCCGGGCTCCGACCATCCAGGTACCCCGGGCAGACGGTGAGCCCGGGCGCCGGAGAAGGGGGAGAAATCGATGGACCCGAACACCTGGGTCCAGCATTGCGTCTGGGCGCTAGAAGTCCACGTCCACCGAAGGATACCGCTGCTGGAGGCCAGGTAGGCCAGCCCTGGAGAGCCCTGTGGCTGGCCGAGGCCGAGGAGGAGGGGGCTGGGCGCAGGGTCCCGGGTCTGGGGAGGGCAGGGGGCGGGGGCTACCACCCTAGCCTGGGGCCTCAGGACGGGGGCGGGGCTCCGCCTCGGACCTACCTGCCTCGCCCGGGAGGGGCGGAGGCTGCGAGCCTCGGAACCGCGCGCATCTCCTTACTCTCTTCCCCGAGCCCTTGGAGCCAGTCGAGAGAAGCGGCATGGAGGGGAGGGCTGCTGAGCCTTGGGACCTGGAGTTCGGGGTTCCGGGGGCGGGCGGATGTGGGCTGCACTTGAGGACCGCGCGCTCCAGCCCCGCCAAGCCGACTGCAGATCTGCCATCCGCCAGGAGCTCAGGTGAGTGGGACTAGCGGATGCCTGGGACCCAGGAACTGCACCCCCAACCTCTCGCCCCTTAGGACCCCGGGAGTCTCCACCCCACCCGCAACTCCTGATCCTCCAGGAACCAAGATCCCTCATCCATTCCCAGCCTCCCCTGTTCTGCTTGGCCTGTCTGTTCCTGTCGCCTCCATGGTGAATGAAGGCTGCCCATCTCCTCCCCACCCCACCCCCACCACCCAGGTACACCTGAGAAGGGAGTTGGTGGAACATTGCCCAGTTTCAGTGGGCCTTCGGGGCCTGGGGAGCCAGATTCCAAGATGTGGAGATGAGATGCTGGATCCTAGACCCTGTCTTGGAAAGCACCATTTCCCATCCCCATCCCCTGAAATTCCAAGCCCCCTGCTTCTCCTCCCTCAGATCCAGGACCCTGATTCCCCTTCCCTCGGGACCCAGGAGTCTGAATCCTTAGTACCCTCCTCCCGCCCATCCTCTGCTCCCTGACATTCGTCCTCGGGCTCTGAGCACCTGCTAATCCTCCTTTCCTCCTGTGCAGCCATGTGGGCCCCCAGCCGACGGCAGCTCTGTCTGACCTTCCTGCTAGTCTGTGTTCTTTCAGCCGTCTTCTTCCTACACATCCACCAAGACCTGTTTCACAGTGGCCTAGACCTGATTGCCCTGTGTCCAGACCGCCGCCTCCTGACACCCCCCGTGGCCATCTTCTGTCTGTCGGGCTCACCGATGGCCCCCAACACCTCCTTTCCCTGTCTCAAGCCCCCTGCCTCCCTCTCCGGAATCTGGACCATCTACCCAGGCGGCCGCTTCGGTAACCAGATGGGGCAGTATGCCACACTGCTGGCCCTGGCCCAGCTCAACGGTCGCCAGGCGTTCATCCTGCCCACCATGCACGCCACCCTCGCCCCCGTGTTCCGCATCACCCTGCCCGTGCTGGCCCCCGAGGTGGACGGCCACACGCCATGGCGGGAGCTGCAGCTGCATGACTGGATGTCGGAGGACTATGCCCACTTGGAGGATGCCTTTCTGAAGCTCACGGGCTTCCCCTGCTCCTGGACCTTCTTCCACCATCTCCGCGCCCAGATCCGCCGCGAGTTCACCTTGCACGAACACCTGCGGCAGGAGGCCCAGGGTCTACTGAGCCAGCTCCGCTTGGGCCGCACGGGGGACCGCCCTCGCACCTTTGTGGGTGTCCATGTGCGCCGGGGGGACTACCTGCAAGTCATGCCCCATCGCTGGAAGGGTGTGGTGGGTGATCGCACTTACCTCCAGCAGGCTATGGACTGGTTCCGGGCCCGGCACGAAGCCCCCATCTTTGTGGTCGTCAGCAACGGCATGGCCTGGTGTCGGGAGAACATTGATGCCTCCCGGGGGGATGTAATCTTTGCTGGCGACGGGCAGGAGGGCTCGCCAGGGAAGGACTTTGCACTGCTCACGCAGTGCAACCACACCATCATGACCATTGGAACCTTTGGTTTCTGGGCTGCCTACCTGGCCGGTGGAGACACTGTCTACCTGGCCAACTTCACCCTGCCTAACTCCAACTTCCTTAAGATCTTTAAGCCCGAGGCCGCCTTCCTGCCCGAGTGGGTGGGCATTAATGCAGACTTGTCTGCACTCCGGTCGCTGTCGGGGCCTTGAGCAGCAGGGAGACTTTCTGGAATTGCTGATTAGTCTTGGGCCAGCATTTATGCATCTCCAGAGGCCTGGCAGCTTGGAGAGAAAAGAAGGCTTTCTGTAGCTGTGTGGACATTCTAGAACCAGCAGAAGATCTTTCCCTGTTGGTTGGCAATGCCCAGAGAGGCTCATGTCAGTTCTAGAAGGCAATGCCTACCTGCTCTTCCCAGCCCATATCCAGAGTACATCTAGAAGGATGGCTGCACCCCAAGTACAGGCAACTCCCCCTTCTGATGTTGTCCCTGGTCTTTTCTAGAAGAGAGGTTCATCTCCAGGACTGAAGGAATTTGTGGGTATTCTAGAGCAAGCACTTACCAACTCCCCTTCTGTGTTTCTGCAGCCATTCTAGAGAGGGTCAATTCTAGTGCCTGTGAGAAGAATCCTGCAGGGCTCTTCCAGGGAGGATGGAGTTCTGGAATTCCAGGAGAATCTCAGGAAGGTACAATCTGAAGCTCAACACCTCAACCACTGCCAGAAAGATTGGTGGAAGACAAACTATCTGTAGCTGCAAGCAGACCCGAAATCTGTCCAACCTCTTAGCCCCGGAAAAAAAAAGACCAAGACTCTCTTTTGAGCAGATAGGTGAAAACATGGGAGGTGGGGGAGGGGAATGGCTGCGAATTGCAGCAGCTTCTGGAGCAGTTTTACAGAAATATAGGAACACTTTTTTTTAAGCTCAAAAACTGCCAAAGACAAGCACCCCAGAAGGTGGCTCTGAGTTAGGTCGCCTCTCCCAATTACAGACGTTTCCTCCTTTGCTGCAGGGCTGTGGGTGGGGGTGGGGGGGTGATGATGGGATTGATTTTCTGGAATTCAGCCGGCAGGAATGTTTCCTTTGGGCTTACAGAAAGCGGCTGGCCTTGTGTCCCTTGCCAACCCCTGTCTGCCCCCGATTTCACAGAACCACTAAATCTGGCTTCGGGTTTGAAAGAATCTGAGGATATTCAGACTCCAGACTGTTCTCAAACCCAGGCAGAAAGGAGCACAGGGTTTGGCCAAGGGATTCTGGACTCAGATTTCAGGAACCCCTTGAGGCTTTATGAAGGGGGTGAAGGTGGTGGCTAGCTTTATTGCAGACAACTCTGATCGCATCTCCTGTTTACCCAGAAGAATGCAGACCCCTTTTTTAGTCTTCTCAGGGAGTTTTGAGGGATCATTCCCTATTCAGCTGCTCCAGGTGGGGAAGAGGGAGGTATGAATTAAAAGTCCACATCGCCAACTCCTGTGTCTGCAGGTTTTTTGGAGTCGTGTGTGTGTGTGTATGTGTGTGTAGGAGGAAAGGTTTGGAACTGCCAGGGACTCATTATTCATGTCTAGGGGTATTGTTCTGTTCAGATCTGGTAGCCTCTTGTTCTCAGAGTTGGTTGAGTAGTGCTGCCTGTTTTTCTGGTGGCCTGTTTTCAATGATGCAGAAAAGGAGAGAACTTTCAGGACCTGCAGAGCCCCAGTTTCTCAGTATTGGCTCTAGGCCTCTTTCCTCTTGAACCTTGGCATCAAGCCTCTTGGGCTAGAGAGAGAAGGTGGAGGGCGTGAGGAAAGTGTGTAACTCTGGAACTACATTTCCCATATAGCCATCTGGCTGGCCAGGGAGAGGCCCCAGGGCCTCCTGGGAGTCGTAGTCCTAGGGCTAGAAAGGGCCACTTCCCTCATCTTCGTGGCTCGACTCCAAGTTTCCCAAAAGGCCACGTGCACCTAGCCGGAAGCCTGGATCCGGGGACGGGAGGAAGCTGAAGCCCAGAAGCCCTTTCCTTGGCTTTAGAAGCCGGAGGGGACAAGATAACTTTCCTTTCGGTAGACGCTGGGAAAATTCTAGTCTGAAAGGACGGCCACCTCTTGTGACATCATGGAACGATAGGCGGAGTCTTCCTTTGTTGCGGTCCAATCAGACTCAGCGTTGGGCTTGTGGGCGGGGCCGAGAAAACTCCCAGAGAGTATCTTTTGGGGAGTTGGGGCCGGAAACTAGAAGGGGGAAGCTGTGGGAATTCCTCCCAGACCGGGGCGAACGGTGACTGTGACTCCAGTCAGAAAGCTCTCCATATCACGCGACCGATCTCACCCTCGCCCCCAACAAAATCCTTAATTTTAGTCGTGGGAAAATAGCAGAGTGGAAGGACGTGGCCTGCTCATCCTCTCTAAAAGCCCTCAGCCTGGATTCGGCTCTTCAGCGGACCTTAGCTATTTGAGGGTACAACATTCAAGGTCAAGGTCGGGCAGCGGCTGTTGAGGGCGCATCGGGTCTCCGGACACCTCGGTTTCCTAACCGAGAAGTGTGCGCCCTGCAAATTGGGGGGCTTAGTCTCGGGGAAGGGTTTCTCTCCACTTAGCGTGAACGTTTGGGGCGAAAGGACCCCTTCCCCTTCCCCCTCCCCCTGTGCGTACTGAGCGCTCTGGCCGCAATGGGTCCGCAACTTCCCCTCCTGGTGGCGGCGCTGGCCGGCTGCCTGCTTCCTGCCCGGGGCTGTATCCTCTGTGCTACAAAGGTCGTGGAGGCGCTAAAATCCTTGGAGACGGATTACCTGCCTGGCCATCTGGCGGCCGATCGTCACCAAAGCTTTATGCAAAGGGTAAAACAAATCGTGACGGATTTCAAGGACCTGCCAATTGAAGAGGATTCCTATATGGGGGTTATCGGTGAGGGCAGGGAAGAGTGTGGAGTCCTGGCAAAGGAGGGGTTTGTGGCTAGGATTGCTGGGGGCGGGGCCGGAGGTGGGGGGCGGGGGCCGGGAGGGCAGGGTTGGAGGCAGAGTCTACTGGGTTCGGGAATGTAGAAGGCTGGAATGCAGATTCTGGGCCTTACCCAAGGTAGTAAATACTGTGTTCCCCATCGCTTAGCCTGGAAGTTTGTGTAAAAAAAAACCAAACCAAACCAAAACAAAAAACAAAACAAAACAAAACAAAAAAACCCTACAACTCCCAGAAGGCAACGGGCGGACAGTCCCTTTACCAGGCCTATCCTTGCCCAGTAGTCTCATGGGTATTGTAGTTTCTTTTTTTTAAAAGATTTTTTATTTATTTATTGAGAGAGAATGATAGAGACAGAGCATGAGAGGGAGGAGGGTCAAGAGGGAGAAGCAGACTCCCTGCCGAGCAGGGAGCCTGACGCGGGACTCGATTCCAGGACTCCAGGATCATGACCTGAACCAAAGGCAATCCTTTAACCAACTGAGCCACCCAGGCACTATTGTAGTTTCTAAGAATAGGCGAGCCAATGAGGCGGTAAGGCTTGGAATCTGGAGTTCTATCTCTCCCTCCCTGCATCCCCACCTCCCACCCCTCCAGATAAGCCCACACTGGAAAAGGCATCCTGGAGTTTCCTGAAGGATTTGAAACGTATCACAGACAGTAATGTAAAAGGTAAATGCACAGAGGGGCCAGCGGAGGGGCTCCAGAATCTTCCGGAGAAGTGATAGTTGGTGACAACTGGTCTGGTAGTGGCTCTGGAGCCAAACTGCCTAGGTTCAGATTCCGGCTCTGCCATCTCCTAACCGTGTGGCCTTGAGTGAGGGATTTCGCAGCTTTGTCGCTTCTAAAATGAAGATCAGAACAGTCCCAGCTGTCCCTTAGCTCAGTGGCCCGCATTATGTTAAGCGGTCAGTCAATTTCATTGTCCCTCCGGGAGAAGACCCCAAAGTGGAATGCCAGGCTCTTCCGACAGAAGCAGACTTCCTGTACAGGAGTGAGGGAGAGGGGAAGCACTGTGTGTCACCCTGCTCCTTCCCAGGTGAACTTTTCGTGAAGGAGCTGTACTGGATGTTGCACCTGCAAAAGGATATGTTTGCCCGCTTTGCAGCTCAGTTCCAAAAAGAGGGTGAGGGAAGATGGGAGTCCGTCAGGGACCACAGCGCCTTTCTTCAACAGTCCCAGAGTCCCTGACCCCAGCCCCCTGCTTCTCCACGTCCAGCCCCTCAGCTCTCCCAGCTCCACCCTTCCTTGGACCCAGGGATCCAGGCACCTGGGTCCTTCCTCCCTCAAACCCAAGAGCCCAAACCCCAACCTATTCCCTTGCCCTTTCTCACTCCTTTAACTTAGAAATCTGATAATCATTTTTTTTTTCTTTCTTCTGAGGCAGCTTTTTGTCCCAACAAATGTGGTGAGTCCGGGTTATGGGAGCTGGTCCTCTATCCCTCATGGTCGCCCCGTTAATACCCAGCCGTTCTCCTCCCCCTTTGGTTCTCGATGTTTCTTCATTCTCCACCTCTGAGAGGTTCCACATTCCTTCTGCACTGCGGACTTACTCGGGAGCGCGTCATATTCTATTTGCTCTCTTTACCGAGCCTGGTTCCATCCCTCTTCCTGCGGGGCTGCCTTCTACCCCCGCCCCTTGGGCTGACCTCCTAGGGATTGGGCCCCTGACCCCGCCCCAGTCCTTGACCCTGCCCTCCCCTTTAAGCCTCGCCTCTCAGGGCGAATACAGCGTTGATCCTGCCCCTTCAGGTATGATGTTGCAGAGTCTGATCTGGTGCAATACCTGTCAGAAGCAGGTTCACACTTGTCGAAAGAGCTCTGATTGCGGGGGTGAGAGAGCTGGGGCCGGCGGGGCGGGGGGTCGGCGCGAAAGGGGCGGAGCCGGAGGAGAGACTGAATCTAGAGGGGGCGGAGCCTGGAGCCGGCAGGAGAGAAAAGGCGGGGCCGAGACCAAGTGGGAGGGAGTTGAGGAAGGGCCCGAACTTTGAAGAAGCATCCCACCGTAATCCCCTATCCCCAGTGCGCCCAGTCATAGTCCATGAAATGGAAGACTTGATCCTGAACTGTGAGCTCAACTGGCATCGACTCTCTCAAGGCCTGACCGATTACAACTTTTTCAGGGTGGGGCCCTCTAAGTCCTGTAACCCTTGAACCCCAAGCCCATCAGGCTTGTGTGAGCCCCCTGATCCCTGTATCCACAGGTTTGCACCCACAATCCCTATGACCCATGACCTACCCAGGTTTGGCTTCTACTGATCCCCGGGGACCCCATGTCTTGA